TTTTTTTTTTTTTGGTTGAGTTCAGATTTGAGTGATTTCAAATAGGTTTGAGATATGGCCTCTTTTATGCTTGCTAGCTCTCACAATTAGCCTGGTTTTTTGGTGTATTAACGTTGGTGCCAACAAAATCCATTTTTTTTTCTTTTTTTTTTATTCGAGATACTGTGTGTGGACCATTGCAATGATAGGTCTGTAGCGTCACATGGGATCATTTAAAAGGTGACCCAATACAATAGCCTGATTTTAATTTATTTTAGAATAATGTATTTGTGTTCTGTTTTAGTGAAAAATAAAATGTCTTGGGAAAAGGATGAGAAATATGACAAAAGGGTTGCTTACAGAGCACATGAATTGGCTGCAGAGATGGTGCACGGCATCCATGGGATGAGGACTTGCTCGTTTAAGTCCAACTCCAATAGCTTATATCTTTATTTGTAAATAGATTTAACTTGGGGTTTTCCTGTGAAATAATTTCTTCGGTAATGATAGCTTCTTATGTATTATCAAAATGTTCCCATAAGTAGGGTTGAGCAAAACCGAGGGAAATCCGAAAAACCAAGTAATTCAGTGCGAGTTGTTTTGGTTTTATTTTTTTAATGTACTAATAAAGTGCACATATGATGCACGTTGGTAGTAAATGTTTTTAGACTATTAAGTTTAATAAAATTAATTAATTAATTAAATATATCATTGCAGGAACAAAATAAAATATAGAACAATTGAGCTTTTATTTTTTTTTTTTGAAAATAATATAAGGATTTCATAATATAAAAAGAATGAAATAACTTATTACAATTTTAAAAATTTGAAATGGATCGGTTTCTCTTGACAGACCCAAGGACTTAACAACTGGTGCAAGTACATCAATTCTGGGGTTCATCTTGACCCCGACACGCATGAGAATGGAATGAATAGTCACAGTATAGGGCAACAACTTGTGAGGCTTCGATACATCAACAAAAGACACAATATTATCCATAAGGTCGATATCCCACCTCAGAAGCGATGTGCTCTCTGGCCGAAACCAGATCACCATAATAGTCGTCCTGATGGGGAGTGGACTCGTCACTCACATAGATGTCCGACTGGTAACTTTGGAATTTCTAAATTACATAGACGATCTCTACTGAATCTTCGAAACGGGGAACCCAATGGATTTGTCTTGTTCCACTGCATCACATTCATAGTCTTCGTATCTTTGTTGTTTGCTCCTCGCCGAATGCAGGTAAGGTAATGTCATGAGTCCACAAAAATTGGTATGAAACGTTGACAAATTCAACCATAGAAACACACTACATCGAATTTTGTCCAGACAATAATTGTGTTGTCGTGGGCTCATCACGTTGTTGGGTGGTTTGGTTCGATAGCCTCAGCCTGAACTTATTCCTCTCCAAGCCCTTCACGCATCGTCACCTCAAACTACCGCTTACCCTGCAGCAGCCTGATCATAATATTCCCACCAATTTGGATGATGCAAGAGGCGGCTTAACAAGCATCATGATCTCCAGCCGCATGCATTGTTGTAATAAAATAACCCGGGGAGATAATAGTAAATATCACTCTTGTTTGGACTCTTCGACTGCCTGGTAGTGACGCCCCTGGGCCTCGCGGCCTGTCTCTTAAATAATCGTCGCTTGGAGGTGGACTTCTTCACCAAGGAGGATGTGCTCGTTTTTGTCTCGGTTTCGTCGTGAATCAGGTGCTTCGACAATGTGGCAGGTGAGCGACAAGAGAATTGCCCCTATATGCTGGAAAATCTCGGCCTTTTTCTAGGCCTCTTTTGGCACCATTTTTGCAAATTCAACTTTCAAACATTGGTAGCTTGTGGTAAGAATCTTCATCCCCTAATCCTCCCTTTTGACCAGCCTATAGAATTCAAATCATATGAGTCCATCTTTGGTATGTTATGTTGGATTCCAATCAGCCCTCAATCACCAGATTTTTGAAACCAAAGCTCCCCCAACATCCACCCCCTTTATGCAAAAAAATTGGCTCCAAGCCTTAGTTTGAAATTTAAACTTTCGGTCGACGGCCATCAGGATGGCATATAGAGCTTGAAAATTCACTTCTACTTGTAATTTTTCAACACCTGACCACAAATCTATTGGTTTAAGTACCACTACCGATGAAGTTTCTTTCCCCTCCCCACGATAATGTTATATGCGGATTCAACACCGACCACCACAAATCTCACCATCTTCATCTTCCTGGTCGAGCTCGTCCCCAAGGCAACCAACAAAATGACCTCGCCGATGGGAAAGGCTTTTTTTAATTTTTATTTTTCAATACTTTTTACTACCTATCAACTCGTTGTCCTTCATTTAGACTACTTTATTTTTATTTTTTTTGTGGTTTCGTTGGTAGTTTTGTCACTCTAGCACATGGGAATATATTATCAGCCCCATGTTTGTTAGTTTTAGGCCACTGGCCTTGAATTGGTAAGAGCATCTGGCTTTGACCATTCACAAGGACTCGATTTTATGTCCAGACATCGCATGCCAGTTGATGTGGTCATTATCAGTGGTACTCAAGATATTGTGTCTAGAAAGGTGGATATATAGGACGAGGACTTTCTTGATCAGGACCCTAGCTTTATTACGAGCCCCCCAGTTCTAGGGAAAACTGGTGGTTGTATGGTACTAAACAACATTATCAAATAAGCATGACTCTAGCCCAACACGGATGGAAAGGGGAAAAACTTATTATAATTAAAGACAGAAAAAATATTGTCATACCCAGAACAAATTAATTGAAATGAATCAAGATCGAAAAAAAGGGAGTTTTCCAATCACTGACTTAAACTCATTGTCCGTCCTCCGTGTTAGGAATGAAAATAAAAGGATCTGACAAGAAAGCTTGGGAAACATCCAGTGTTGAAACCAAAAGGGACTTTCTAAGACTTTAATATACTTCTTAATATAATAATTATTTTTTTATGAAATGCTCATAAAAAATAATAAGCATAATCGTCGGCTGGGCCAACCTCTTGTCTGTGTCTAACCCATAGTCCCTCCCCTTCACAGCAAACTTCTTCATCACTGGAAATGACGCCATCTCCAATCTCTCTGACGGCGTCGGTGCAACGACCCTGGACTCCTTCCTCATCCCCTAACACATCATCCCCCAGCGACTCACCTTCTCAGTGTCGGCAGTGTCTCCATCAGGGTGACAGTTAGTTATGGCTATCCTGGTGGCGACCCTGTCCCAAACGCTCTTTGAGTCCACGCCTCATCCATATCTTTTGCAGTGGGAGGGTTGTGAGACAACCTGACCGATTTATGTTCCTCGAAGAGTCATCAGACTTAGTCTCGAGTAAAGTAGAGTCATACCCGTAGAAGTTTGATGAGGCACTCTCTTAGACTTTCCAACCTCTCGTCGTAGCAGTAGTGCTAAGGAGAGCCAAATTTGAACTAGCAATAGAGTAGCGAATAGACTCATTGCTCACCCGATCACCCACCATCGGAACATAAGCTTCTGTTGGCATAATCATAACCTACCCTTCCCCCATTTAGTAGTTAAAGTTGGACTCATATACTGATTAACAAGGTAACTCTATTTCAAAACCCACGAATCGATCATAGCCAGACCCTGAAGATGCAATTTGATTAAACAATTTGTGAGTTATCTGATTGCTGATTAGGGAAGCCTTTTTTTCTTTCAATTTGCTTAATTCAAAATTTTTTACAACTTTTCTTAATCGAAATAATATTGGTTTTATAAGTTCTTTTATTTTTATTTTAAAATCTCTTGGAGCTATAAAATACGAATTTTCAGTTTTGTTCTTAATATGCAAAAAATGAGTCAAAAAAAAAAAGAATAGTTTGTTCGGGGCCTTCTTCGTCTAGCCCCATTAAGGTTAAGAAGGGGAAGAAGTCTGCAGGAAAGGCAATGGCACAAATGGCTGCAGTCATCCCACCGGCCTTCCAGGTTGTGGCAAAGTGACGGGTGGTGCTTGAGAAACGACATCAAATGAGAAGGGGGCATATTAGACTCAAATCAAGGGAGGTGTATGATGGTCATAACCGCAAACACGCTCGTCCATCCGCAGAGACTAGAGCACTCGATCCTTGGGAAGTACTAATTTACATAATCTTTATGATGTGGCCCCCATACATCCATTTGAATAAGTTTCAGTTTCACTTTGCTTTGTATGTGACTAAAAGGAAAAGGCAACATGCATTGCTTTGATCTGCGACATATACTCCCAAAAGTATAACATCTTTTGTGCTTCTTTAATCTTGGCCAAGTGATCATCATCCACCCACTTGGTAAAATAATCGAGATCTACGACCAAGAACTTTCGTTGACCCGATCCTTGTGGCATTGGCCCCACCAAGTCGTTGCCCCACTGAGCAAATGGAATTGAAGCGCACACTGTGCTCACCGTCTCTGTCTAGTGATGAATGAGTGGTCCATGTTTTTAACACTACAAGCACCTTTTCACCATTAAGGCTGACATCCACTTTCATCATCAGCCTCGGATCTTGGGCGCAAGAGGGCTTGGCTCGGGTCTGATCGAACTGGGCAACGCTTGATTTTTAATGTGGCTAGAATCTCTAGGTTCTCCGGTCGACTAAACTTAACCTCTGGTTCTCAGACTCAGTTCTCCTGCTATCTATCTTCTCTGGTCACCTGGTCTGCTGTCGCCAATGTTCTACTGCTCACGGCCGCTAAGAGTTTGGGGTCTCCTTGAGTCTGCCTCAGCCCAACCCTACGACGGAGTAGAGACATAGAAAGAGATGAACAATAAACTGGCACCGTAGGTTGACTTTTTTTAATCAAGTTTGAGGATGAGGAAGGGGACTGAAATTTTGAGGAGGCTGCGTGCAAGGAGGAGGAGGAGGAGGAGGAGGAGAAGGGTCAGAGCTGGTCAGGGTCATGTCCAACATCCATGGAGCTCGTGCCTTCTAGATATTGTTTTGGGACCTCCCTAGTCCTAAAGCATATGCAAGGGAAAGGTCATAGAGTGTGTGCGTTGCGGTTGTGGTACACATAATTTCAGCAGCAAAACACTTGAAATAGCGCACAACAAGAACAAAGCAAACACATGGACAATCAAGGCTAAAACACACATACATTTTCTTTTCTTTTCTTAAACTCAACAGCAAGTATCTTGGCCTCAAAAACTGAGCATGAACTTGATAAAATCATGTAATAGTATTTTTTCACTGAAGTTTTTATTGTGTTTCTGAAGCCTAGAAGGCCGCGGAAAAAGCGTGGACCACCACAACCCGGGACTCCATCATCGAACCTTGACGAGGTGGTTCATGATTTCGACGTTGGTGGCCAGTGTCTTAAGCGAGAGCACCATCTTGTATGTGATTTTACAGGGCCTCTTGGCCAGCTTCTCGGCCAAAGCAATCATGGTGCCCTGGTTGTGTCCCGCTTACTTAATTTAAGAAAATACATGATTTTTTTTAGAAATAATTTAAACTTTTAAAAATCATTTCCTAAAAAGAACTCTTTGGGCATTACACAGAATTTCACGTGTAGTCAAACAGGCCTCCACATGTAATCCAACACAGTTATACGTGTTCACATAGATTCTTACATGTTATCGCACAAAGTTCTTCATGATATCACATCGATCCTTACATGTAACCACACTAAGTCGTACATGATGCCACATAGTTAAATTAAGGGCTATTACTCAAAATTCGGGTCTTTTCGACTGCTCTAACGGTATCTGTCGTTAAAGGTAGGATAAAAGGGATGGCTATGACTGCTGGGTAGTACGTACGGGCACATGTAGCCACCTAAGGTTTATGTGCATCATTAAGTAGATAGCCATTCTTATCTAAAGGCACAAGTTTCAAACCAAATAAAGAAGATCCAGCACAAACTGGCCAGAGCGATTATGAAGAGTGGGCTCGAGAGACGTCTTATTTTCTTGGCTCGAGCCAGAGGTCGGCTATGCTATGTTAATGGTCGTAGACGAGTTGACTCTGCCAGAGCGACGGACATCGTGACAGGCAGCATATTAGCCTATAGCAGATCAAAATTATTTTTCAGCGTGGCGGACCTCGCTAGAGTCCGCTCGAGTGTCTTCGTGTTGGGATCGACGAGGATCTCGTTATGTACAAATCATGAATTCAATAGCAAACGTAAACCTATGCGCAAC